TCACCTAGTAAGATCGATATTCATTTCAACTTCACCAGGGAAAATGTGTATAACCTAGAAATGTACTTCTTGAATTGTCTATTGTTCACTTGACAGATAACAAGAATGAGAGAATTTACTGGGAAGTAGGCATCTGTTTATTTCTAACTACTAACTAGCCATAATGGTGAAGAGATTTTATCTAGGCAAAAGCTTAAATCCTAAAGTAGAAACTAAATATTTGCCAGGAATGAAGAGTACTAGAGATAAATAACTCCATGGTTTTAAAAACTCTGGAAATAGGAAACCCTGCAGATAAGACCCAAACATGAGGATATCACAGCCAAAACTTAAATGATAAATCTCATATACTAAAGGAGAATAACTCTAAGATTGTGATCGCCTGTTTGCTCAGTTAGGGCAACTGGTTCAGTGCTCTAACTTTGCATGCTTTGAGAACAAGTTCCTTTATGTCAATCACATATTACTTGGAACAGTTTATTTAAGAAAATAAAGCAAGACATTCAGGAGTTAGTGGTTTGGACGACAATACAAAGGTGGAAATAATGTAATTAGTAAGGCGAACCACTAAGGGGTGTCTGTTACCATAGTCTTGCAGGAGAGTAGATTGGGGTGGTGGGGTGGTTTGAGGGATTATGTAGGTTTTGTTATAATAAAAAGAAGAAATTTAGTTTGAAACAGCCCCAAGGGAAGAACTGAGAAATAGTTTTTAAGGCTGTGCAGGAGCCCATCTAGGAATCACAAAACATAATTGTAACTTGAATGAAAGCAAGGAAGCAAAACCAAAGGAGAATGGGGAGATCGTAGAACACAACCAGAATCAGAAGAAACTCTTTAGATCGAAATCCTGTCAAATGACTGCAGCCTGGAAGAAAAGTCTTCCTGGTAAGTGGTGGGAAGGGAAGGGTTTCGGAAATAACCATAGAATGTAAGTGTGATAATGTTTGCAATGTTACTGCCATGATCTTTAGTCCAACTATACCCTAGGAGCCACTCTTTTTTTTTTTTTTCAACAAAGTGCCTACTGAGTTCCTTGCACATAGTAGGATTGTAGTGGGAGCCTTTTGATGACCTTAGCTGTGTTTTCCTAATTTAGGCAACCAAGGTGGGCCTTATATAATAAGTATGTGCTGGAAATCTACAGAGAAGATTCAGTTCATTCAACACAGAAACCTTAAAAAAAAAAAAAACAATAGCAGCAGAAGCAAGCCAATAACACAACTAGGTTCTGAGGCCTGAACCATTTTCCAGTGCATTTTAGGGTTTAGGTATGGGAGAGCAAGTATATGTTCACTAGAAAGTTAAACTAGCACATGCTCAGAGCAGCTCTCACTATCCTTCCTAAGCACCTGGACACGCACCCGCCTTCTAGGCCTGAAAGGATAGATGTTAATTGGTGGTAGCTGGCATTAGGAAGAGTAATATGCGCAAAGGATGGGAAGAGGAGAGTTGTGTGTGCCCTCTATTCCATCCTCTCAGAGGCTTCCTTTGGCCTTGATTCCCTGACATATTCTAAGTTCACGTACAAACTAAATCAGAGGCACAGATCACTACATTCTAGCAAATGCCAACTAAGGAAGTGTATCTCCCTATAATAAGCTAATGAAAAGCTTGCTTTAAAGATTACATTTTAACACATGAAATCCGTTTACTTTATGTTGAGAGACAATTTGCAGCTTATTGATCTTCTCAATTTTCATCTCCTCTATGAGAGGTGTTGGTAAATGGAAAACAGATGAAGTCAAGTTAGTCGACTTGCTGGTTTGCACAGAAATGGGTTGTTTTTTTTTAAAGGAAGTCTGTGAATTTCTTTAGATGTCACATGTCATTTTTATGTCTCTAGTCTACCATTGTAGGTGGTTAGAATCTGATCATATTTACAACTTTCAGGACTTGACAACTCCTTGATCTGAGGGATTTTATGTAAGTTATAGAGGGCCTCTCTTTGTGCAAGATGAGTGAGAAAAATAGTCCCTATCTCAAAGAGCTAATATGTTTTCAATAAGCACGATTTTAAAAAAAAAGTCTATATTTTCTATAAGGCCTTGGTATGGAGGGCCTGTGACTTATAAATACTACCAATCTGTAAGTTGTATTGTTTTACATAATCCCTAGCTCTTGTGGTTTTTAATTACATTAAGGTAAATTGGCAAATTGTAGGTGTTATATTTTAAGGTACCACAGAAGAGTTTAATAAAGACATCTATAAAGCTAAGCCACATCTTAAATACAACATGCATTTCAAAAAGCAATCCTATATAATAAAACTCTAACATGCAAATCTACTGAACAGCTGAACGACTGATGCTCACTGACCACCAGGGGGTAGATACTCAATGCAGGAGCTGCCCCCCTGGTGGTCAGAAGCCGGGCTCACAGCTGGCGAGTGCAGCAGCGGTGGCGGGAGCCTCTCCTGCCTCCATGGCAGCACTAAGGATTCCCTGGGGGATGTCTAACTGCAGGCGTAGGCCTGCTCCCCTAAGCTGGCAGTCAGACATCCCCCAAGGGGTCCTGGGCTGTGAGAGAGCACAGGCCGGGCTGAGGGACACCCCCCAACAAACACCCCAGTGCATGAATGTCATGCACTGGGCCTCTAGTCTTAATAATAATAGCCAATACAATACAGTAATAGCTAACACAGGGGTTTGCTCATTTCTAATCATTTCTGAGCATATATACAGGGCATCCCAAAATATGCATACACAGTTTAACAGCTGACAGCTCAATTTTGAAAATGAAATGTACTTTAATAAACACTGCCCTTATAATTATTCAAAGTGTGAGAATACATTTTTTGGGACACCCTATAAGCAACCTCTCTTAACTCTCACAGCAACTCTACATGAGGGGTACTAGCATTAGCCTAATTTTGCAGATGAGAATGCAGACACAGAGGGCGTGAGTAGGCATAGATGGCAAGAGAAATGCTGGGAGGCTGAGTGGGAACAGGATAGTTCAATTTAGCACCAAGAATGTGGAAAGAGGGAAACCTTTCAGAGTCCATAATTAGTGAACTGAGTTTCACTAAAATCTGAAAGGAGAATAAGAAATTCTATGGTACTAAACTGAAAAAGATGACTGAGCATAGAGCAGCACAGACTAAAACCATACAAAGAATACATGTACGTTACAGTGCATACATGAATTAGCCATGACCTTTGAGGAAAGGTTAAAACTATTTTTAAGTTTCTGACATCCTTGATAATTGTCAGGGAATTAAAACAGTGATGTAGAAAAGATAATCCAGAAAAGTCAGCAATGTCCTTAATACAATAAACCAAGAGAAATACAGTTTTGCTCTATATTTATGATACTAACCCAGAAATTAAAATGTATCATTGAAATGAAAAATAGCATTTCATTTAAATATCAGTAAAATGTTTCCAATCTTCAGGAGTCATCTCAGTTTTCATCTCAATGCTCAATGTTTGATGTCATGTACATCTGTGCAAATATCATTATCGAAAATTTATAACTGAATATATTTTTTCTAACATAGGCAGAAGAGTAAAAATTACACTAAGACAGTTGTTTTGTTCCCCATTTAATAAAATTTCAGAATAAAAACCATTTTAAATGTACAAGAGAAACTCTCTTAATGAAAAATATCTGTAGCATACTGTAACAAAAATGATAAAGTAGTCCAATGTTATAAATCATGAATTTTACAGCGAGCATTCCAGACTTTGGCCACCTGGTTTGAGCCATAGTTCTATCAGCCTTCTAGTTTAGTCCAACTTCCAGTGGACACATTACTTGAACTCTTTCCTCAATTTTAAAAAAGGGAGTACCAGGAGAACCTACTTCATAAAGCTGTTGTAAGAATAAAATAAAGAATCTCTGCAGTGCTCTGCTGGCTACATGGAAGGGACTCAATGCGTTAGCTGTTATTTTCATTACATGTGATTATATAAGCATTTCATTATGTAAGCATTTCATTATATAAGCACTTACTATTTATGCATAAACTATACTAGAGAACCAGAAAATCCATTTTTCTGAAGATTTCTAAATCCACTGGAAAAAAGTAATGTAGACCTGACTGGCCATTTTAGTGATTTTTTTTTTTTAATTTCTATAACATTTTATCTAAAGACTGAAAGAGAATCACCAGCCTGGTGGACAGCATACCCACATGGCTCTCCACAGAGTTATGTGGGTATACTCTCATGAAAGACAAAACATCTGATATGTTATTATTTCTAATTTGGTGCCCATGGGGTTTTCCCAATGCAAAGAAATAAGCCCAAGGAAACTATAAAAAGCAACAGCCCATAGTTAAAACAACAACAAGCAAACTGATCTGTAAATGCCAAAGCATTCACCTGCAACTGAGACCAGTCACATCTGAGTGTCTGTGCCACTCCCAGGGCATTTAAAAAAAATGCTTGCATCACATACAATGATTTTTTACATATAAAGGTTTATTAGGTGGAGCATGTTAAGGCCATAGTTAACAGAGCAATTTAAAAAGCTAATTAAAAATGAAAAATAATATTTCATTTAAATATTAGAATGTTTCTAATCTTCAGAAGCACAGTTTCCTTTGTTTTAATCTCAATGTTTCAGATGTAAATTGGCCTAGAGCTTAGCATCTGGCAAATACTGTTCTGGATGGACAAAACAGAGGCAAGCTTTCAATTTTCTGTTCTCACACTTCATCATTCTTCCCCCCCTCATCTTACACTTCTATTCCACTTTCCCTCCATTTAGCTTCAATTTTATGATATCCGGTGGATGAAGTTTAGATTTCTAAATCCGACACCTTAAGCTATTTACAAACAAGACAACATGTAACACTCATGTAGTAATTAAATGCATCATTTGCCAACGTAGCACCTAAAATGTTTACTCTTGAATGATGTCATCAAACCATCTACCCCTTATATCTCACTTTCTTTTCATAAGCCATGGAGAAAATTTCCATACCTTAATTTAGAATATGATTTTATGTACATTTCCTGTGAACTAGAAACATACAGACTGAGGTGAGTACTTACTTTTGATCAATAAAGAGAGGATCAAAGAATTCCGTTGTGATTTTGTTTGCATACAAGGAACAACCGGTCATTGAGCATAACCCTAAAATGCATCAGAGGGAAAGGACCGTGGTTAGTGAGTGCTACTTCATTAACACGGTGAAAGTACCTTGTTTGGGAGAAAGTTACTATTTACCTGACAGTATGAATACAACCCCAGCCAAACAAGCAATTTTAGCTTTGGCTTTCTCTGAGCCTCCGACTTTGGTACACTTCATTCCAAACAGGGCAATTATGGAACCAAAAAAGCCCAGGCTGACAGCGGCAATCATAAGTCCTCTACATGCCTGGATATAACCTGCAATTAGAGTAGGTCATTTACATGTTAACATAAAACAGGTGGCTGTCCAGGGAGAAATCCTCGTTCTACATTGTCCTCCCGAACGATTGTTCCGTTTTCCAAAAAAATAAAAGTAAATAAATAACCATAACTGTTAAAACATGGGGCAAGACAAGCAAGGGAAACAAGTTATCCTACATGGAGTGCCTGTTGTATGTCACACACTTTTAAGTGCAGTTTATGCATAATCTTCAGATTAGCTCGCTGAGTGCTGTTATTCACATGTGAGGAAACCGAGGCAAGCAAAGTGTCTAGGATATGCCAGAGATAAGTTAGTAAGAGACAGGAATGGATTCCATACCGATATGACTATACAATCCAGGTGACGCTGCCTTTCACTGTGCAAAACATCACCTGCCACTATCTCGAGCCTCTTACTCCTTTGTACATTGGAACTTTTAAACAGATGTTTTAATGGTTCAGACATTATAAAATTTATCATTGGGCAGCAAGACCTCCCAAAGGGTGAAATCTTCCAATATTAGTGAAAGCTTATAAATGAGAGCAACTAAAATATAATCATGAGCCATGAGGAGTCTAAATTAAGAATTATTTTAATGGCTTTGTATTATTTACAGGGCACATATGATAAAATGTGGCTTAAAAAAGCATTGGCTATTTACAGCAAGAATAGCTTATAATTGTTAAATTAACTGATTACATATAAGTGGATGCTTTCAAAGAAACCCTAAAAGCTTGTTCTGTTGGTTTCTTGGATCATTCTTCCTATAACATGTATTTCCTTAGTCACATATTTTTATTTGCACAGCCATGGTTATGATAAACTTCAGCCTGGCTTTCATCCAGACATTAAGAAATGTTAAATTAACAGGATTTAAACTAATAACTTTGTCCACATATGGACATTTTCATTTCAGCCTGAAAAAATGCCATATTTCAATCTGAAACAGTGATGGCCCATACGAGGTGTAAGTATATATTTGTTAAGCAAATGAACATACATGTACTTCAGGTTTACATTTGGAATTAAATTTGTCAATCTGTAAAACCTTGTTAATGCCAAGAGACTAAAAGTTACTTATTGTGTGTCCTCAGACAAAAGCCATAATGAATAATATTTCTAAGACTATGATAATTATAAACTCAGAAAATAATGCTGGCAGGTAGCCTTCAGTCTCCATGTTTCTTTGGGAAAGAATAAAATTTTAAGTTTTAATCCTATTCCTACGATCTATTTTAAAGAGTTCACAGAAGATGTTCTATTTAATTGAACAAATCTAGGCCCCCAGAAATTCAGACGGCAATGACAATCATCTTCTATTTTGTAGCATGAACTACTCCCAAACAAAATCATTTCGCTGAGGGTGAGACCATCAAAGACAGCAGCAGGAACATTTAGTTTTGGTAGCAATGATCACGCTGCAGGGCTCTCTGGGGGAGTGCTGCCCAATACTGACCCAGCTCTATTTTAAACTTCAATCCTCAAGTCCCTCTACCAGAACCCAGGGAGCAGATAGAAGCCCAGATAGAGAGAAGAGACCTGTTAGTTCCTTGCAAGGTTAAGGAGTGTCTCCCAGAATCACAACTGCCTCATCACTTATCCCCAGAGCTACTGGGACAGTGTGTGGGTTCTTCATAGCTTTATTTTAATCTATGGTTTTGAGGTGTTTTAGCTGACTCTTGACTGAAATCACTCAACGGACAAAACAGCGTGTGTATGATGTAACCTCAATAGTATATGTGTAAAAAAAGAACTATCCTACAAAACTTTACCATGAACCTTTATGTGCATTTACTTTAATAACCTTACAGGCTTTATGAATAGAAAATGCAGGAGCCTGGCAAAAGGTTAAGTTCTACTCCGACCCTTTAGACCACAAAATACGTTTTCCCAGATGGTAAACAGTGGTTAGAATCCCATGCTGATGAATTCAGTTCTCAACAGGACTGGGAAAATAATAGCAGCCTTTAAACTTTATTTAACCACTACGCATACCCTTTTGTTCTGAGTTCCTCACTCAGTTCGCCCATCTCAGCCCTTGGCACATGTGTGGGAGTAGAGATGGGAAAGCAAGGTTCTGATGCGGCCAGGTCCTTCCTCGGTACCACTCAAAACCCTAATTTGAGGGCAAGGTACCTCTCTCTAGATGGAAAACAGTACCAATAAATAAATTGCTAATTTGTCGCATGCACCAAAAAGGCACTTCACCAGCACAATCATTGGCTAGATGTTCTAAAATGGGGAGCAAAGAGCAGGGATTGGGGTTCCTAGGGATAGCTCCCCTGCCAGCTGTAAATGCAATCCAGTTGTTGGTAAGTCTGAGCTTTGTGAATTAGGGGCTACCAGTCCTTAAAACACCCACAGACTCAGGCCTGAGGTGACTGCCAACCAACTCAGAGTTTATCTTTTGCAAGGCAGACCTCTACAACCTTGCTTTCAAACAGTTCCTCGGGGCAAAACTTATAAGTAAAACCATCAAGCGAAGTGGTGGTAAAAACTAGTCAAGGAGGCCATTATTTTTGACAGGTCTAATTTACTGACACCGTTAATAGCTAATTAACACATTAAGGTGCTGAAGCATGAACATATTTACTTAGAAGTTCTCTGAAGTATAATTTATAGTTAAGTCTCTTGTACGAAATGGCAAACATTCCCACTAACAAAAATAGATGGCATATACTAAAAAAACAACCTGGCTGAAAATTATTCTCAGCTAAAGTTCAAGTGGTGTTTTGAAAGGAACATGGGTTAGCAATAAACAGAAATCACTAGCTTAGTCAACTGTGAAATGTTTAATTAGTAAAATGTAGGGGCCTTAATGAATTCTGTTAAAGGGAACCTTCAAGGTGTCCCTTAAAAGTTGTGTTTTACCCTGGCCAGGTGGCTCAGTTGGTTGGAACATTGGCCCATACACCAAAAGGTTGCAGGTTCAATTCCCAGCCAGGAGGAGCACTGTAGGTAACCGATTGATCTCTCTCTCTCTCTCTCTCTCTCTCTCTCTCTCAACCGATTGATGTTTTTCTCTTTCTCTCTCTCCTCTCCTCCCTTCCTCTTTCTCTCTCTCTCAAGTCAATTTAAAATAAATGCATATCCTCAGGTGAGGATTAAGAAAAAATGTTAAGTGTTTTCCAAATGATGTGTACCTTATTTTCCGTTGCAAACTAGCAAAAATGAAAATAGCCACTTGGTGGAGACAATTTCCTAGTGAGAAGAAAAAAACAAGCTTTTCTTATGCTAGTAGCTTTGTGCATTTTTTTGCAAATACTTTGAAAGAAGGAAGGTATGGGGAGAAGGCATGAACTTTGAATTTTAGCTCTGTTCTCCTATTTACCCACTGTGTGGCCTTGATTATGTTAGCTAATCTCTCAGCCTCTGTTTTCTCATCTGTAAAATAGGATAAGAGCTTTTACTTCACAGAATGAATAAAATGAACAAAGTGTCTGGTGAGCAGGTAAGAAACTCATGGAAGCTTCCTTTCCATAAAACTAATATTGATTCTAAGCAGAAATTGGGGTTGGGGTCTTAATATGGCATCATACTAACTCGAGACATTTAGCTTTTCCTCAGCTTCATTTTCCTTACAGAGAAAACGGGGGTGATATGATACCACCTGATGATGAGGAACCAGAGCTTTGACCTCACAAAGGAAATTCAGAATAATGACTCCATCATCTGCTTCCAAGAGGTTTGCTCCTCCATCAAAGACAGTGGTTCTCAACCTTCCTAATGTCGCGACCCTTTAATACAGTACCTCATGTTGTGGTGACCCCCAATTTCATTGTTACAAATTGAACATAGTTAAAGCATAGTGATTAATCACAAAAACAATATGTAATTATATATGTGTTTTCCGTGGTCTTAGGTGACCCCTGTGAAAGGGTCGTTCGACCCCCAAACGGGTCGCGACCCACAGGTTGAGAGACGCTGATCGAAGACTAGCTGAGAGAACCATGAGCTTTCTCTCTCCTTTCTTGGCTTTACTTCTCAATCCAGACCTCGTACCTCGTCAGGCCTGTGGCCCCCATAGCCCATGGTTACATAACTTTCTCCCGTCACTGCAAAGGCAATGTTAGGAAGTCCATGTGCAGCACGCTGCCAGCAGGACCTGCCTCAGGACCAGCACCCAACAGATACGGCTGCCCTGGGAACACACGCCAGAGATGGATGTCCTCTCCCACACTGATGTTGTTGTTTTTTTCTCTCTCTCTCCCCCTTCCTCTCTCTCTCTCTCAAATCAATTTAAAATAAACACATATCCTCAGGTGAGGATGAAGGGAAAAAGCTAAGTGTTTTCCAAACGACGTGTACCTTATTTTCCATTTCAAACTAGCAGGGATGAAAATAGCCACTTGGTGGAGACCATGAAGGGGGCCACTTTGAAAAGTTCTACTGGTAAATGGGGGAATCAACTCCTTTCTCTATGAAACTGTCGCAGTGTCACTGAATCCCCATGTGTTACTCTGGGAGATGCAGAAAAGTCAATCTGTCGCTTTGGAGTAGGCAATGCCTCCCTATGATACAAAAGGCAGAGCCAGCAGGAAGAGTCTGATTAATCTGATTATAGCACACATTTCAAAGTCCTCATAAGTTTAAAAGACAAGCAATAGGCTGAGAGTGCAACATTTATGACAAATCAAAGATTGACATCCAAATTTAAGAAAACAAATCATTTAAACCAAGAGGAAACTACACAACCACGGGTATAAGACATGAACAAACAATTCACAAAAGAGGAGGGGGAGGGGGAGATCAATATATGATAAGGTGTTCAAAATCAGTGCTAATCAGATCAGGGAAATGCCAAGTTAAATGATAATATGATAATGTCACCTATAATATTGGATGAAAAACTTAGTGGTGAAAATGTAGAGAAATAGGTAGTCTCACACACTGTTGGTAGAATGTAATTTGGCAGTATAAACTGAATATTAAAATGAATATTCCACTGCCCTGACAATACAATTTCTCAGTATGTACTCTCTAACAACACACATACAGACAAAGAGGCAAATATAACAATTTTCAGTGAAGCGCTAACAAGAATGAAAGGCTGGAAAGGGTCCCATGTCCTACAACGGGCAAATGGTTATATAAACCAGTTTGTCCAGACGAATGAATACTACGCAATCATTACTTCTATATGTATGGACTGGGAAAGATAAGTTATTAATTTTAGAATGCTGCAGAATAGTGCGTAGTGTGGTGTTATGTTTTTAAAAGTTCTTTTCTAGACACATGGAAGGCTATTTTGCAAACTGGGTTGTATATAAATGTCACTCCTCTTCCATTTGCTCCATTCTAGAGCTTAATAATTGAGGGTTATCCCTCCTTCCTCTGCCTCCAAATCTTGATACCATGCCCACTTTCACCTCAGACGTATTATTCTGCACGTAATAATATCCAGCAAGCTCTTGTTTGTCTCTCTTCTCTCTTGTCCCCCAACTGTCCTACAGAAGGAGCCATACCTATCTGGCACTCTATCTCAGGTAACAACAATACAGTTACAACAGAAGAATGCGCTTAAACCGTAACTGTTAAGCCCGTATTCCTGAAGGTAAGCCACAGAAACAAAGAAACAAGAGGCTGTCTGTTCAAAGCATCTACCTGGATGTGTGCTTTGCAGAGGACAGGAAATTCAAGGGCAATTCTAGGGGACCCACAGTGTGCCAGCTACTAATGTGACACAGCAGGGTGTCACCCATCTACAACTAGACACTTCGGCCCTTATAGGCAGGTTCCATCAAATACCACTGTTGAGCAACAAACATTTGCTTTCCGTGGCAAGCACCATCTCAGGGGAAGTAAATCTTGTCTTTTATTTACTCAGCTATGCAAATAAAAACTTGCAGGGCAGTAATAAAAGAAAAAGAGAACACCTCAAATCTAGAAATTGTAAGTGACTCTCCTTAAGTTTCTGTGGGGATCCATCCAGTCCTGGGCTGTCAAATCCTAGAGGAAGAGCCTAGAGCAGTGGTTCTCAACCTTGGCTGCACATTAGAATCACCTGGGGACCTTTTTAAAATCCTGATTTCTGGGCCTCATCATTTTAAAAAGATCCCCAGGTGATTCTGATGTGCAGCCAAGGTTGAGAACCACTGGCCTAGAGCGTGAGGACGCATCTGACCACGTTCATATAGACGGTTCTCTTGAAACTAAAACAGAGCCAGTTTTCCACCTGAACATCGATCTACCCGTTGCTACAATGCAATGCGATATAAAGCCTAATTAACAAAAAACAATGTAGAAAACAATTTACAGAAGGGCACCGGCTCAGAACCTGTCAGTCTCCCAGAACCTGTCAGTCTCCCGCACGCAGAGATTCTGAGCTGAGCGTCCCGGACTCTACCCGCTGACGCTCAAGGGCTATTTATTTTCCTAACATTTGGAGGAAGCGTTAAAGCCCGGGCTGGCACGCCTGTAGAAGAATTTTTTTTTGGG